TGTGTGTGTGTGTGTGTGTGTGTGTGTGTGTGTGTGTGTGTGTGTGTCAGCGGATGGCCGGTTAAACAGATCACCTGGTCACACACAGACCACATTAACAGCTCCTCTGAGGCTTTACATCGTCTCTCTTTCATTATCTCTTTCACCTTTGAAACAAATTAAGTGGCGTCGCTGCAGCTCTGCCGGGATCACCGTGACTTCCTCTCTTCCTTTGGACCTTCTGTTCCTCTCTTTGATAGTCTCCTATTTCCTTCCTTCCTTCCTTTCATCGCTGCCTTTTGGTCTTTTTCTTGCCCTCTCTCTACTTCCTCGAACAATTTGTCTCCCCTCTTTTAACATGCTAATTTCACTAAATTTTTTTCCTCTTTTCCTGTACCTGATGACCTAACTTCATGCAGTTAAACAAGTCTCCAGTGGATTAATGCCTCTCCAGCAGGGGGCAGTGAACATCCAGTGTGTTTACATCCATCAACCACATGCTCAGGAGATTCTCTCAACACTGATCAGCAGTGGCAGCTCCCAGTCAGCCCCTCTAGAAATGCCACTTTGCAGACGCTCCATCCCACCCTGTCTGCTCCCCAGTACTACCAGTCACATTACATAACTGTCTCCGCCCGTCCACCCCGGCCTCTGTCTCTCTACCCATGTCTCTGTATGTAGTTATTACTTCATGTCCTTTTAACCTTCATATCCCTGCTGTCCTCTTCGGCCTCCTACCTCTCTGTGTCACATTTCCCACCAGACAGCAATCAAAGGGGAGTAACATCCAAACAAGACTTTTATCGTACATGCACATTCATCATACTTGCATTTGCAACTGTTTCCACACTATTTTCTCTCAATTCTCTGTGGAAATCCTCCCCCAAGGGTCGGAAATATTAATCGAATATATAAAAATGTTAAAACTTTATCAAGCAAGGACCTTAATGGCATGTTTCCCTTCAAAACACCTTCATTTTGGATTGTACCATGACCTCTACACCATTTTGTGGCCCACTATGAAATACTGTATGTTTGTATATTTTCCTTTAGCATAGAGTCACACACTGTCTCCCTCATCTTTATCACTCAGGAAGGGGGTGAGTGAGGGTGAGGTGACGTCTGAGGATCGGGAACACGCCAAACGCATCGTCTACTCTGTTGTGTATGGGGCAGGTGAGCACAAACGCACACACAGGCATTTGGTAATTGATTTACCATAATGGGGACACAGATATTCATCAGTCAGAAGGACAATTGATCTGTATTGTTTCAGAATGACAAAGCAATGGGTCTGAGTGTCATTTAGCACCTGGTTCAGATCCACAAGTGGTTCATTGTGTGAAGAGGGTAAACGCATTATCAGAGGAGCTAATTCAGAGATTAAACAAACTGAATTTCCTGCGCAAGATTTAGGTTATTGCACGCAAAGACGCCCCGGTGATTTCTGCTGGGGACAGCATTTCTTTCCTGCTTTGATCTCATTCCTGATTCCTACAGCGATGGGGGGACGGGGAGGGGGGGGATGAGTGGAGGAGCGGGAGAAGATAAAAATAGAAAAACAGAGCGGGGAAGATGAATGTATACTATGCCCATGTGGCCCATAAAGATACTTCTCGGTGACCCATTTATGTTTCTCACACATGTATGTGCATGCTGTGGTGAACACACACACACACTGGATGCACACACATGGTAGATTTGTGGGGTAGTCATTGGCGGTGGGTTTAAGATGCTCCAGGTGTGGACGTGTGTTTGGCTGTGTGTTTACATGTGCTTTCACCTGTGTGATGAAGAGAGGGTTTTTACGGGCAGTCTGCACTCTTCATCAGGTTTTATTGCCAGTGGCCGGTTTCAATGCGTACGTGAAGCTACAGCTTCTTCTGAGTACAAAGCGCAGCGGCCATCGCTCCCTTTGGGTCGAGTGTGCGTTCAAGAGCTCAAAAGAAATGTGATGTTCTTCAAGCTGATGATGTGCTCTGTGGTGTTTCTACAGCTCAGCGGGAGAAAAACAAACATACACACTGATGAATGAGTCAGTCCTAGGAAACTCAATGAACCTTCAACAGCCAAGGAGGCAAATGTGTACGAGCTATTAATTTGAGACATCGGGGGTGTGGGGGGAGGTCAGAGCTAAACATGCAGAGAAAATATGGAGTGAGTAAAAGGGAGTGAGAGAGGAAACCTGGGCTACAAGCAAAGAAGAACGGGGGAGGTGGTGGAGCAGAGAGTAATGGAGGGGGGGAGAGGGGGGGGGGACTCCTGGCCAGCAGAGACAGACAGCTCTTCGTGGAAAGGATGCGTTGCCATGGATACCAGATACTAAAAGGAAGCTTTCTTTGCGAGACAATAATCAGGCCAGGGAGGGGGGGGCACACACACACACACACACACAGAAACATACTCACACAAGCACACGCACACACACACACATATACAGTCGGATGATTAAAAGCAAAGAAATAGAAACGATTGAGGTCAACTGAAGCTCTATTCATGACATCATAGGAAACAGATTAGTATTTTTGTCAACTAAGGACTTCAGTGACCTTACAAAAATAATCAAACTAGCATGACAACAGTGTTTTTGCAGTAGTTTTGAGACGGAGGGACTAGATACTCTCGAACATAAGAGCAAAACTTTTTGTACAACGTGAGCCACTTTCTGCCACATATCTTTGACTGTAAACTATTTTTAGAATCGATACATTATCACAAAAGATAATAGTGTGTGGATTTATTCTTACACCCTGGTAACTCCTCTCGTTCTCTGTCCCTGTTGCATAAAGTCAACTTATATCATGCTCAGTGTCACACAAAAACACACAACAAGCCTCATCGCTGAGGGCTTTTGTTACGACATATTTCAGCCACACACACACACAGACACGCCGACTCAGATCTATTCTGATGTCTTCATCTTCTGCTCTCAGGCTGACTTTCCAAAAATGCTAACCATGTTAGCGACATTTTTATGTAATCATCTTAATAAAAAAAAAACTATTTTATCATTATCTACCCTATATCTCATAGAAATTGTATGAATACAAGTGTTCTACATTCATTTTCCACAGCACTGCTCACCCTCCCACCAGCTCTCAGCTATTTGGCATGACAACACTCTTCACCAACTACACATCATGAACACACACCCCTCAGAGCTCCAAACCACACACCCACACATAGATACAGCTCTTGCAGTCTTGCCCTGATCCTTGTCCCCCCTCCTTTTATCTTGTCCTCTTCTGTCTCCTCTCTCCTTCACCCTTCATTAGGCTCTTGGTTCTCTTCCTCTCTTGTACCCTCTGGTGAAGTCTGTCCTCTGTTCATTTGCCCCCTTTCAACTTTCCTCTCTTCCTCCAGCCTCTCCCGTCTCTCTTCACACTCTTCAATCAGTCATGATTAAGGACGTTTTCACTGGTTGCTCATTTGTCAGCTCAAGGTCTTGAGCAATGAGGTCATTCACAATACAGGTCATCACAGAATATTGATGTTCAATAAATAGGTTAACATTTTAGGAAATTACCTTTTAAGAGATAAATGAGAAAAATTGATGCCATTTAAAGATACCGTTAGCAGCCGGCTAGCTTAGCTTAGCACAAAGACTGGAAACAGGGGGAAACAGCTAGCCTGGTTCTGTCCAAAGGCCACCTCCTAAACTCACGAATTAACTAAGTTGTATCGCATCTCTTTGATCAATGTCTCCTTTGTAACTTCTCTCCATGATGTAGGCTTGCATAGTTGAATACAAGTGAGTCATATTTTGCTCTCTGCAGGTCGCGAGCGTCTGTCGGGGATCCTCGGGGTGAGTGCTGAGCAGGCCAGCCGGTTCCAGGACAGCTTCCTGCAGACCTACAGAGACGTCCAGGCCTTCATCCAGAGGACCATCCAGCAGTGCCACAAGCAAGGTACATTCAAATTCCCTTTGTCTCCCCTGTGAAGCATTACGTCAAGGTTATCTCGACTAGCTAGCAAAATGTTTATTTATACGATTATAGATTAGGGTCAAAGTTAAGATAAGGGAAATTAGGGGTTAATGTTAAGGATTACAAACAGAAGTCAGCTAAATGTTCCCACAAATATAGCAAAAATGTGTCTGTGTGTCTGGGTTTGGGCCTGCACCCACGCTCTCTATGAGTTTGTGTTCCTGTGTGTGTTTGGCTGAGGAAGAAGAAGATGTGCTTGCATTGGCAGGAATGAGACAAACTGCCGTGGGTCAATACTTGAGGGGGACGAGGTGTGTGGGGTGGGGGGGTTCAGGGCTGATGGTTCAGACGGGACACTATTTATATTCGGACTGAATTGCCCACACAGCACACCTGAGACTTAAACAAGCTCACACAAAATAGTGTAAAGTCTGCACTTTAACCCTCATTGCACACCGTACATGAGGCCAGTGTCAACAGGCCGAGTGAAGAGGTCAGTCTGCGCCAAAACAGATCCTCCATCCTTCAACCTGGAGGCCAGTGTTTGGGTTAAAACCAAGCCGCAAAGCTTCGGTTCAGGAAATGAAACCAACGTGGAAGAGCCAAAAACTGCAGTTCTTTAAATGGCCACTTGAGTCTATCCCCACACACCTCCATGTTAACATACAGCAGAAATGAACAGGTTTATAGCCTGGTGCAAAGAACGGTTTTGGTCTTTTTAGCTAATATCCCCGTTTACGACAACTCTAGGGGGTTTATATAATGTTAATGCTTAAAGTTAAAATCTACAATGCTGGCTTGGTATCCAAGCCCATCTAAACTTTATCTTATGTGTTCTGTATCTGCTTTTCCCATCCTAATAAAAGCACTTAAAGAGACAACAGTTTAAGTATAAACCAATTACACCCCAATCCAATTAGTCGCTGTGTAGCCTTCCTGAAATCTGTGAGAAGGAGCCAATTGTTACCGTAATAAGGACGGTACAGATGCTTAGTCATTGCTGTCATGGACTCATTCCTCCAAAATGCTGCGCACCGATTGCAGCGGAAGTGATGTTGCGCCACACAGTCGGGTTTAATTCAGCTCCTCCCATCTGAGACGGTGCCGGGATTCATCCGCCCCGCTCGTCCCAACACTCTTTTTGTCTGTCTCACTCGTTCTCATTGTTTCTTGTTTATACCTCTTTTCCTTTTGTCTCTCCCTTCATTCCACAGCAGAAACGTACTGTAGCTGACAGATAAACTAGTCCTCTGGAGACATACAGTAGCACACCAAACTCTCTGGCTGTTTTATTTGTACTGTGACTCAGGCAGCAGAGATTAATGTCCACTCTGCACCTCCCTGAGTCTGTAGTTGATTGGTATTTGATACGGCGATATTTTGTGCTGGATGCTTGGCAGGCTGAGCAGCGCTGAGGTGAACAGTGCAGCCTCAGCGACTGTCATATTTGTAGGAAATGAATTGGAAAGGCTCAACGTGAAGGTGAGGTCAGGATCACAGTGTGGGTGTAATAGCAGAGAGAGGAGAAAAGAGGAAAATGTCTGTAGATGTAAGGGAGGAAGGAGAATACAAATGAAACTACACAGAAGGAATGGGACAAAGATGAGGACTGAAACCGGATTATTGTGATAGTTTTTATTATATAAACTACAAAATAATCCCCTCATAGACATAGCAGCCATGGCCGCACTCCTCTGAATGATCCACACCCGCAGTCCTTGATATTAAAATGAGATAACGCCACCGCTCTGGGTAAGCCCGTCTCTGGAGATGAATGCCGTACCTTCACTTGTAAAGACTGCCTGAGATAAAACAAGGACCAGGAGCGAAGGAGGATTTTACATTTTTCTAAACAGGGGGAATCACAGCGATGAGAACAGGTCTTCTCAAGGCCACAGCAGACACGTGGGAGCTTAGATCTGCACAGATGTGCAAACAGCCTGCTGTGCTCACACTCACAGACCCTGGCTCTCACACACTGTCAAATGTAATTAAGCAACCTTTCACAAACAAGTTCAACCTCATCAACTTAAAAGGGGATGAGGTCGTCTTTCCGACTTGTTTCCAGATATGTCAATAGCTGGAGAGCACGTTGTAGACCTCACATCCCTGTCACTGGGCCCGGGAACAAAGGTCACATTCCTGGTGAAAAGGTCAAACGCATGTGTCATGGGTCAATTCACAGCGAGCAGAAATGTTTTTGTCTTTGTCGCTTATCTGTTGTGAGCTCATTTGCTATGCATTTAATGCTTGTGTGCGTGATTGTATGTGTGTATTCTGGGAAGAGGGTCATTCAGGATTCGTGCCCTGGTTGGCTTTCCTCACAGTAAGAGACACTAGAGGGATTTAGCTGCAAAGCCTGCTCCATTGTCCAGCTGCTGGAATGTACTGGTCCACTGTGTGTGTGTGTGTGTGTGTGTGTGTGTGTGTGTGTGTGTGTGTGT